CAGTATTATTTGCAACACACACACACAATATCACATTTTAGGTATATACAGAGGTCTTGATATTAGCATACGAACATACACACACACACATATATACTTACAAGCGTACAGCCAAGCACGCACAAACGCACATATACTCGTACACACAGATACGCAAACACATGTAATAATGAATTTGCACCGTATACGCCTTTTGTTCGTTTAACAAATTAAAGTAATTCTCCCGAGACCTGCCCCTTCGTGCACTGCACAATATAAATGATAAAAATACTCTCTCTTTGACCTTGCAGTATAGCAAAGTTTTTAACAAAAATTTTTTCAAGGTTCATACTAAATTATTTAATAAAATTTTTAAAAAGCGAAACAGGATTTTAAGGCTTCTTTGCAACTATTTAAACCTACCTATTCATGATAAATCAAAAAACATTTTTTACCACAGCAGCAGCTAATTTATAAAAATAAAAAAAAAAAAAAAAGAACAACAGAAAGATAAAAAGAGAGAAGGAAAACGAACGATATTATATTGTTTTCTAAATTTAGTTGGAGGCTATTGCCGTTAACGCCAACCATCATAGAAAAGGCTCTCTTGGTTTAGTTGATCCGTAACTGTAACTGTAAACGAGCGAAGAATTTTTTTGTTATTTATTTTTCACCCCTTTTTTCAACACCTTCGGTTTTATAATAAATCATAAACATTTACAGTTTATGAAGGTTGTTTGTCTAAGCGCGTGCAGACTATGACTCATAAAACAAAATTATATGTACGCGATGTAATTACTGTCATATTAAGGGTAACTTAGTAAAGGGGGCAAAGAGGATTGCACAAATAAACAGAAGACAAAAATAAATAATAAAAAGAAAGCTTTAAAAACTATAAATTTTTAAATAAATTTGAATACAATGTAAAATAAAGAATATGTACTTCGTTTTCAATTCTAAGATTGATAGCAGTAGTTGTAGTAGCAGTGGGGCATCTGCTGACACAACCGTAGATAGGATTAAACTCTTTATGATTTCAATTAAGTTTACTGTCACAAATTTGGGAACAATATCTGTTAATGATAATGCCTTTTTATGTCAAGGGCGTGTACTTCGTTTCCTATTCTAAGGTTGGTAGTAGTACTAGTAGCAATGGTGGTAGGTAGGTGTAGTAGCAGTTATAGTAGCAGTAGTGCTATTTGTAGTAGCATTTGCGCATCTGGTGAGAGAATTACAAGTGAGATGAAACATTCTATGATTTCTCTGAAGGTACTTTAACAAATTTGAGAACAATATCTGTTAACGATAATGCCTTTTCATCTCAAGGAAGGGTACTTCGTTTCCAATTCTAAGGTTAGTAGCAGTAGCTGTACCAATAGTAGTAGTTGTAGTAACAGTTATAGTAGCAGTAGCACTAGTTGTAGCAGCAGTAGGGCATCTTCATGATTTCAGTTGAGCTATTGTATTTGAGAACAACATCAGTTAACGATAACACCTTTCTACCTCAAGGATGTATACTTCGCTTTCAATTCTAAGGTTAGTAACAGTAATAGTAGCAATAGTAGTAGTTGTAGTAGCAGTTATAGTAGCAAAAGTAGTAGCAGCTCTTTACGATTTCAGTACAACTGCTGTAACAAATTTGGGATCCATAATACCTTTTTGATGACAGTAGTTATGGATTTCAGTTGATTCAAAGATTAAGTAATGCTTTACCGGGGCCTGGAAAGCCGGTCTTTAGTGTGAAACGGTAAGTTACTTTAAGAGGGCTTCGCTTTATGGATCTCAAATGCTCATGTATAGGGACGATGTAAAAGAGGGTCTTTCTTGTCAAACTGGAAATATCTTTACAAAACTTTTGCTTGTATTTCGCCTATAACTGTACCGTTTATTAAACAAGTCCAACAGTACACATTGCGGCTGCATTTTAACTAGATAGCAATCGGACATATAGAATAATGTGGATGGTCTACGAGCTTGCACGATATGCACTCAGCATCAGCGCTTTCGTGACTTTGCACCGAGCAATCGGTGTTACCCAGTGCCTATTAATGCTATTTTCGATTTCATTATCAATGAATTACATGAAAATTTTTCATAACAACAATTCAAGCTATAATCCGTGCCTGGTTTTTCTTCTGCTCATTAACAGGCGAAGAGAATAAAAGTGGTATAGTAATCATATGACCATGATATTGAGCAGAAGATAACTAGATTTTTCGGCAATTTTTTCTCTAGTTCATTAGAAAATATTTTGAACAAAGAAAACAACTAGCCAATGTTGTTTTTCAATTATTGTGATTTTATAACTGTCCTTAAAAAAATCTACTAGAGACTACTTCCCATTTATGTTAACGAATGTAAAGCTAATTATTTGAAATTATTTAATTCCGTTTGAAAGGCAAAAGGCACTCCATCATTCACTGGAAATTTATATTAACGGAAGCTATGTTTAATTGTCTGCAGATAAATGCTAAACTTGCACTTCAGATGAAAGCAAGAAATTCTTGCGCGTGAAGCTTGATTTTAAATTTCCTGTAATAAACAAATGCCTCTTCGAAGAATTATAACAGACTCTTTATTAAAGCAGTGAAATGAGGTTAAGTGGGAAACCCACACTTCTATTAATAGTTAGGTAGACTAAGTAATTAAATTATCTCCGCATTGAAAATATATTTAGGTTGATTTGCCTTAAGAGCTGTATTTAATATCGGCATTTGTTTTATGAAGATGTTAAGACGGCTTAAAATTCTGGTAGTCGACAGCATAACATAAGAAATTAAATATATGACGCAGTGCAAGCAGATATGTGGCTTTGTAAATTCCAAATATACTCGAAATAAAATTTGTTTTCAAGTACTCTACTTAACCTTAAAACATGATATACGTACAATTTACGAAGAAGCCACATAAATTACATCATTAAATGTAAGGGGATCAACACCAGTTCAAGTGAGTATAGTGATAAAATAAATAGTCCTAAGCAAAAGCGAAAATACTATCTTAGAAAATGACGAAAAGATTTAATACACGCATCTAAGTGTATTTAAGTGGGAACAATTTCATTCATATCTGGATCGAAGTCGATAAACGAGATCAAAAAAAAATAAAAATATATATATCATTTTAGAGGGGTACCTGTCGAAGCATAAGCAGTGGGTGTAACGATTTAGTAAAATGTAGCGACCGTGCAAAAGCTTTAGCCAGGCGCCAGTGATGTTACATCTAAAAAGAAACATAAATCGCTTCGTATCAACTTCTCTCTTGCTGTAAGTCAGTGAAAGGTCCACCGTCTGATTTTTTGCGTGGACACCAAGTCTATGAAGCCTCAGAGAAAAGGAAATTTTAAAGTCGGCACTCCACGAAGTACAACCTTCGCCCGAGGCTTAGTGTGTCCTATTGCCGCTGTAGCCCCGGATATGAGAAAGCGAGTGTGGAACTTAACTCATTCCTCTGATGAAGACGTGATGTACCCAACACCTCAGTATTTATTACCTTTCACGATTTTGGGGTGACCGCAACTGTCACGTTAGGCCATATATTACATTATGCCGTGGAAGGCTTCCTCAGCTATCACGATGCCATCACTAATATGCAGATATTCTACAAACACTAAAAGGTACGGGCAGCTGCTCTACGCAAGGTGTCGGACAATCTTGGCACTTATAGCGCGGGCTACCGACATTAGGCAGTCTATTCTTGCCTATACGTTCTCTCTTTTGCATTACGGGAAAGCTCCCTATATATGCAACTCGGTGATGGTCAGAAAGAAGTTGGGAAGTGACCGCAGCTTCGTGAATGTGCGCTTAGTGAGTAAATGAGCATGCGAACACTTGGTTTGACAAGAGCGACTCTCATCTGCCTGGTTAAACGAAAGGCTACAGTCTGGACTGTCAAGTATTCCCCATGGCTTTTCAATGTCCACAGGGAGCATCGATGAAGCAACGCCATGCTAACAAGGGCACTTTTACTTCTCTGGTTACAGAAGAGTAACACAGACTCGTGCAGGCAGTGGCTGATTATACAGAAGAGAAACTTTGCAAGCATATCACTTCCGGTTTCTTTCGATGACTTTTCTATAGAGAGATGTGTAGAAGTGTTATTTAGATAAACATGGATACATATGTCAAATTATTTGATGATACTACAGAAGGCTAATGACATATTTTGAAGGAAACGATAAAGAACTACGTCCCTAGCTGATATGTAGAGTTTACTTGAACCTTGGAAGCTACACTCAAAATCTTCCAAGTACAATCTGCATCAGTCACCGGCGTTGGATATAATAGAAAAATTAAAAATGAAAATATTAATCAAAAAATTTTTATTTATTTCTCTCTTTCATTATTCCCGTAAATTCGTCTTTTATTTTTTTTTTTCATTATGCGACAACCTTCTAAGAACGCTGGCTGGTTACCTTGAAATTGAAATTTTCCTCATATTAATTCAACAACATATTCCAGTAGCATTTAAACGGCGATAATTTTCTGCTCAACAAAGCGTGTAATTATCTTAAAAAGACTGTTTTACATAGAATTGTGAAGAAGTAAAGAAAAACAAAAAAAAAAAAAAAAAAAAAACTTTCTTTTCAACTAAATTTTGCACCGTGGCGACGGTTCCTGTTGAATCCGTCACTTAAAACATAAACGCGTTTTTCACAAAAATTCACAAAGAAAGATAAAAAGAAAAAAAAAAAAAACAAAAAAAAGCGCCATCCCAAGGTTACTCTCTCGAAAAACATTGTCTCATATACACTGAAACCAAGCAATAAATTATTAAATTTAAATAAAATTTTTTGTTATGAAATATATATATTTAACTAAATATTATGAAGGTTGTCTCTATATAAGTTGCCATATATTACGCGCCTGTCTGTCTAAGCTAATGGAATAGTTCTATGAAAAAAAAACAAAAACCGTAACACATATAAGAAACATTAATTGTTTTATTTATTGCATTGGCATTAAGCTTTAAAGTGCATAACAATGATACAATGATTACACGAAATAGTAAAACGATTCATAGAATGAGCTAAGAAAAAACAAAAAAACAAAAAAAAAAAAAAATTCAAACGAAAAGACTAAAAAAAGATTGAAATAAAAACCTTTAACACAGGTTATGCACATATTGTTACATAACACAAGTACTACACTGCCATACAGTTGCCATACAACACTACCTATTAAGCATTTGTAAAAGCAATTTGTATTTTTGTGAAGCAGCGTTTTACAATGAACGAACAATACATTAGGGTGACCTACTTTCGCCAATTTTTCATAGACCAATATTACTTTTGCGCGGCTTATACTGCATTACACTAGATTCATCCAACTTCTAGCAACCATGAACGCCTACAAGATTGATTCTGAAGCAATATTCTGAATTTTACAGACTAGTTTAAGTCGATTCAAAAAGTTGCCCGATAATGATTCGATCGAAAAGTATATCTATCTCAAGCGATTTTGTGTAGCATGCATCCGCATCAACTTAATTTGCCCTTGTGTGTGTGGGGTCAATGCCTTTCACTAAACAAAGGCTGGTCGTTTCAGTGATTGTTTTTTCTGAACTAAAATTTAGCGCAGTTACACTATTTGTCACACTGCCTCCAGGAATGGCAGCCTTTCCGGCATGTGTTAACGATTTACATAAACAATTCTTTGCTTTTTAATATATGCCGGAGGCATAGGCACGCGACTTGCAATCGATTTCGCTCCTAATAAAGCTTGAGTGTCGTAGTGGTAGAGCTATTTAGTATAGCATCAGGCAGCCCAAAATGATTCACGACTTCTGTGGCGGTTTTAGCGGATCTCTGCTTAGTGGCGGACCATCAGTTTCTGTCCGCAGGACACCTCGCCAACAGGTGCAATATCCCTGCCAAGATGCTTTACATATTTTTCAACTTCTGCCACAGGGATACGATCAGTGTCCCATCAGATAGGCTTATCTTCCACAAACATTTCTCTTTTTTTTGGACAAATTTGTAGGCAAACAGAGAGCTTTGCTTGAACTTACACTAGCAAGCCTCTGCTTTTCAGAAAGGATGCGGCAATAGAGATCTTACGATGGGCTGCTTACTTCCGCGGCTGCCATTAGGTCGTCTGCTCACGCTAGACCCTTAAGTGCCATGCTCCCGAATATCATTATTCTCGTAGCGATCCTCTCGTCCAAGAAAAAATAGAAAAAAAATTTTCAAAGAAATGGTTTTTGTTTTTAAAGGCTGATGGCAGTCAATTTTATCCCCTTAAGGCAAGTTTAGTTTCCTTTTGCTCTTCGTTTCTTTTTTTTTTTTCGTGCTACATCTTTCTCAAAATACTGCTTTCCTTTAAATACCTTTAGACACGTTAACAATTCCACCTGAAGGTATATTTTTGTTCGCAGTAAAGATGACTACATATAAAAAATTTCTCCATTTAGTATAGTCAGCCAGGTATTGTTTAAATATTCTTATTGTTTATATACATGTGTGTATGTATGTTGATTAAATTACTAACGTGAATTTGTGTTCATACAGCATACAATAAAGTCTCATTTATGGTCGATGCAGTACAACAACGGAAACGTTGTTATTTCTCTGCATATGTATATTCACATGGACGCGAATATCAAATAGATGTACGTAAGTATGCACATCTATTACATACATAGACATATGTCTGCTTGTAAGCTATATGTACAAACACATATTTGGATGAAAAATAAAAAAAAAAAGTGCAAACTAAGAAAGACGGAAAAAACTTCGAAGGCTATACATTCATTTACATATGGACTTACACACTCATACACATCTGTTGTTTATATATGCATTTCTATACATAGTTACTTACTTACGTTTATTATGCATCATGCAAAGCATATGCAATGCATGTACCTGCCTATGCATATGCTAGGTATGAAATTGAAACTCTCTTGTTTAGTTAATTTATACTTTAAATTTTTGCATAGACAGCATTTTGACTATTCATGAATATCGACAACATCACGTTACACCGTTTGGGGAAAAAGTGTAAAATGAAAATAAATTAATGTATTTCCAAAGCAAAATGAAAGATGAAAAATGATATGGAAACGCGCTGAGCTCACCTTAATCCATAGAAAAAAAACTTGATAATGGAAATTTTGGGAACTTGGCCAACTTGCGTATTTTAGGAACAGATAAGTGCTGCAGGGACTAGCTTTACTTTGCGAAATTGACGAACATGAATTCGATATCAGCTAGACACTGTCAGGGTAAGGCTTTGTCTGCGGACTAATTATATCCCCTTTTGCCATTTACTGTTTAAATGGACCTATTAAAAATTTGTATCTAGTTTACGATCATTATCTGCTATGCACTGTAAGTCTCGGTTTGTACGCTATTGTCAACTTTAGCGTTAGCCAATTGCAGTAGATAGGAGTAGATAGGATTTAAATTGAGATAATCTTTAAAGCATCTATTTATATATGAATATGAATGTATATACATATATATATATATAGGGTTGCATTATATAAAGACAGGTATATATATCGTTACAATTCAAATTCATCGCTAATTTTTTTTTTCTTTTTTGAGTGGGAGAGATGCTTCTTTCTAGTAGTATACGTAGTTTGAGTGACAACTGCTTGCACGGGGTAATAAAATGGTTTTATTTTTTCGATCGTTCTTTAAACAAAGTCCTTCCCTAGTCAACCGTGTGTTCAAGGTGTGAATACGTACGGAATTCAACGTTATTTCAGTTGAAGACAAAGGCTGCCGTATAGTCAAGCAAATAAGTAGGTGGCCCGGGAGATTCACTCGTACTTGGTCGTAGCTACAGTAGATGCTTACACGGACCGGACATCCAGTAGGCTACGACCACTTTCTCCCTTTTTGCTTTTCTCCAGTTCTTACTGACCATTAAAGTGTTGCACGTATAGGTGGCATTCTTTGTGATTGGTTGCACTAAAAAGACAAGAGAAGTTAAAAATTTAATTTGAGCCCTTGCTCTTTAGTCAAAATATGTTTCATATTTTTACTAATATGTTCGGGTATGTCAAGAAGGTTTTCAGGCGGAAGTGGGAAGAGAGAAAACCAAAGAATTTCTGGTCTCGCTAGTTTTACATTTTTCAAATGATGCGTGTGTAGTCGGAAGGACAGACGTAGTCAAACCAGGCCAAATGCATATGTATACTTTAGTGTGACATTTTTCTCTAGTTTAGCCAAAGATATGGACACGTAAAAATTTTAAAAGACAGGAAGAATTTTCTCTTACCGAAATTTTCCAACTCTGCCTGTACACGCGAAATGTTTATTAGGTGTAACAACGACAACCTTATAGGAGAGAATTCGATTTATTTCTCGTAAACTTTGGCCAATTTTTCTGAAAAATTGCAAAAATTTTTTCTAACCGAACCGTACCATTCTACCGTCGTAGCGGGAAGGACTTTGTCTCAATTTAAAATTCGTGAATTGCTATCGAAGGGATCTTCTAAGATCTTTGAAAAAAGAAACTTTACGGAATTTGGACCTCGTAGGTCTATTTTTTAAAACCCTTACTTAAATAAGGTTTCTCGTGGAAATTAAGCTCTTTTATGGAGAGAAGGTATAACATTTAGTTTTCTATGATCGAAACTGGAATTATAATAACATTTTCTGGAAGAAAAATAAATTTGGATCGTTTCATACGAAGATCAGCCTCTAATATGCGGCCATTTATGAAAAATATGCCTTAGCATGTGTAATTTTTTATCCATTGTTAATAAAACGAGCGATTAACTATGTTAGGCGGGTTGAGATAGGGTACTTAGGTGTACTGACTTGCCCAACTATAATGTTCTTACTTGTTTTATCCAAATTTCGCGATTGAATTCTATTTTATTTTGTGGGTTGGTAGTACTATCTCTGATGTTACATCTATGTAGTCTAGAGAGAGACCTGTTTTTCGAAATGTATAAAAATGAGTTTTTCGATTTTTCCTATGATTATGGAACAATGGTTTCCGACTACGCGAACGAGACGAGAGAGATATCATTAAGAGAGATCTGATTTAAATTTATGCACACAAGCCGACGAATCGAAAGAATATCGTACCAAAAGGTGAACTAAGACCGAAGAAATGTCGCCCAAGTCGCTCTAAAAATCAAGATCTACGATTATCACGGTCTCGTGCATAATGAATCTCTTCCACCAGGACAATATATTTGTTTAATGATTTTGAAGGTGAAGAATAAATAATATATGGTTTTTTGTTCATCTTATAGCCCAATTTCCATTATTTTCCGATCGCAATAGTATTTATACAACTTATGAACTTGAACCATAAACGAAAATTAATACATTTCGTTTAAAAAGAGAAAAAGAAAAAAAAAAAACAAACAATTCAATTAAATAAAATCATTTATTTATTTACGAATATAATAGTATTTAAGCGACAATGGCTTTTTTTCTTTTCTATTAATTTTCCCAGGGTTTACGTTCAATTTCATATTGCGTTTAATGAATGCTGACACATGCGACTCCGATTTAAATTGCAAACAATTTTTTATTTATGGATAAAACGCATTTGAAAGGCTCTTTATCTCATTATCATATATAAAATGCAATTTGATTATCATGTATTATAAGTGGAGAGAGAAATTTTTATAATCAATTGTGGCCGGACAATTTTATGTATACGGTTCGTCTGAGTTAAAACGAAAACTCACTTCAATAAATTTTAAAGTTATGGCTTGAATTCATTCATAGCCGCTTTTTTAATCTATTTTCGGTTTTCATTTCAACGAAAAAGTTGAAGCAAACCTTACTGTTATTTTACATGGCCAGATGCTAATATGCATGTAGGCACTTTTGGTTTTTTTTTCTTTTAGACTCTACACCACTCGTGGTAAAAGGGTATATTAAGTTTGTGCGGATGTAAACAACAGCCAGAAGGACATGAAATCAACTCCTTTGTGTTGCCGTTCCAATCTTGTCTGCTCATCTGTTCGTCTTGATTATTTCTGTTCAACCTAAGGGCAACAGTTTTTGAGATCTTTTGATGAAATTTGCTAAACAGACGTATTTTTGCCCAAGGACGAATGCTATTAAAAATGGTTCGGATCGGAGCACCTTTCCGACCGCTTTCCGTATAGTACGTTATTTTGAACACTCGATTCATGAATAACTCTACGGCCATGTCCTCCTGTAGTGTTTGTGGTTATTTAAAATATGACCGATTTTTTGGGGTATGCCTTCTAAACGTTCATCATAGCGATGATCAGAAAAAACTGAAAAGAAAAAGGGGATATGGAGTGCTTGCAGCCCAATAGTAGGTTGGGGGATGTCTCCTATATGTGCATCTCGGCAAACACTGCGGAAAGAGAAAAGGTTATTGATCGCCAGCAGCTTAGTAGAGTAGACGGGTGCGTGCCTAAACGCTGAGCATTATGCCATTACTGTGTGAGCACACACTGCAGCTACGACCAGCTATACTCTACCGCACTGAGATTCGAAATCGCGAATACTGAATTGTTAGTCGCGATTCTTATCTGCACAGCTATTACGCTGATAATTTTTTGCATGATAACCGTCCATCCATTCACTCACACCACAAAAAGAGTTTTGAGCCACTTTGGATGCATTCCACTAGGAAGTGCTAGCTCTTGTGGCCTACTCATCCGTCCTGATCCGCTTATTTAGTGGGACACGGTTTTTTTGTGCATTAGTTCAACTCTTAAGCACCCAGTGAGGCATAGCGCACTGCGATGTGAATCCTCGACGGCTGAGTTCGTAATCGCAACTCTTACCAACCCAGCTATGCGGCAGCATCTCTAGAGCTTGATGTGAGCGATTTCCGGTGCTATTATGGGCCTAACTCAATATTCTTTAGTACATTTGGAATAATTATCGTGTGCAATTGATCTTATGCGTAGAGCCTTTCATTTGGAACACATTCGTGTATAAATTACGTAGCTTTTGCGAATTTCTTGTTTGCTTTACTACAGACAATGTGCCGTTCAGTGTGTGCTAAACAGAAGTTTCAGACACCGTACGCCCAGCAAATGTAAATAAGAAGAGTTTTTTTGCATAACTGCTTACGCTTACATATCATGCCATTATTGAAAAACACAAAAACCATTAAGTGAGGTAAAGGATATGAGAAAATTCAACTCAAAAACAAGCTTGACTGATAGCCTTTTTCCCTTTCTATTTTTCATTATTTCGTATTTAATTCAATTGCACATAGTGATTCATATAAATGGAAAGTAAATAAGAACGTGTAAGAAAATCATGGAATTTTAATCATGCGTTTCAAGAGAAGGCCAAATTGTTTCATTGAATGTTGAATATAAAGAAAAGCGACACATATAAATAAATGAGTATATTTGTAAATATGCTCATATATATATATATATATATATATATAATTAAAGATATATGTCCTTAATACCATATATTCATATATTTACGTTCATGCGAATGTATCGTCATGAGACACTGCTTATGTGAAAATTCTTTAAATAGACTTCTTGCCGTCTTGCCTTAAAATATTCCAACTCATACAAGTTCATATAAAATGCTAGGTGTTTCGACAACAACAGCAGCAACAATATTATACAGCAACGAGATCAACATTTGTTACGTTTTCTATTTTCCTTTCTTTTTTTTTTTTTTTTTTTTTTTTTTTTTTTCATTCATATTTATTTAACATTTTCATTCATTTCTCTTCGGGTGTAAGTGTGTCATCATCATTTGCATAAAATGAATAGTTTTCCTTAATTCATATAGTTTCAGTTCAGTTCTTATACTTGCGGAACACACATGCATATATACGTATACATATATAGATATAAAAGAAAAGTTTTGGAGTGTGCGGGGCCATTCAACTGTTTATAAATGTTCCCGTATCCGAAAATGTTGAAAAAACATATGAATAAAAATTTAAAAATATAATTTTAAGGGAAAAATTATATTTTCTTCAAATATAAAAAATTTGCTAAAAAATATATAACAGTAACTGTCGGAATAATCAGCTATGTTAGCGTAAATGTTTCTTGACAAGCGTAGTATATCTGCTATTACGAATAATCGTCACTCGTTTACGTTGACACGCAATAATAATGGGGTAAGGTAGTCAGGTTTACATATCCGAAGACTGATGTACATAACTTGTGGAAAAACTCGCATATTCTCTTACATCGAACTTCCTATAGAAGATAGAAAGACGACCGCAAAGTAGTTAAGAAGCCCGTCTATCAAGTTCACAGACCTGGATTTAATTCCTGATGCTTGGGGCCGTACTTAAGTTACAATAGATAGGTCGTTAAAGCTATAACGAACTTAACAATTCCCCTTCGTACTCGTAGCTCCCAGACGCGCTTACTACCTTTCTCTCTATTTCTCTCTCTCTATGTTTTCTTTGACAATTGTAAGTTCTGTGCTTGTTTACTTTCGATCAAGTTGAAGGTGCTTATATAGAAGGCAAGGCTGTGTAGCTTGGAACTGAGAGAGAGAGAGAACGACATATTATTGACTGCAAAGAAAACAACAACGATGAATGGAGTCGGGCTGTGTGGATCACACATTTTCGCATGGCCCAATATGGTGGCATACGATGGACAGTTAAGAGGACCCGAAGAGTTAGTAAATGATAGGCCGGTAAACTTTGATGACGATCGGCTACGTACATCAGCAGCAGGATACCAATTTATGACATTTTCGCATAGTCTACGCCCGCGACATATGATTGACATCAAATATAATCCAAGAAGATTGTGACACATAGAAACACGAAACATCCTGAGTCCCAATGACCATCGACCGTATGTAGATAAGGAAGTAGGACGAAGGGCATGGAATGGCATATGATTACCACCAAATATCCAACGAGCTGAGGAAATATAGAATAAATAGTAAGCCCTAATAGCAATCAGCCAAGTAAATTGGAAGGAAGACGCGCAGAGTACGCTATTTACAAATGACATAAGTTCGCGTTATATAATTGAAGACACTAGTGATTAATCGAATTGGGCTCCGGTAGATTAGGAAGAAGATGTAGGGTATGACATTTTCAGATGATCTAGTTGCGGCATGTAGTCCAGTAATTAACACCAAATATTTCCCGATTTCTAATGACCATCTTCTGTGGAAGACTAGAAAGCAATGTACAGCATTTAAGATTTGAAAAACCTAAGACGAGTGACAGGATCAAAAAGGGGTTCATGAATTGGTTTAGAGATCTCATAGAGACCATATGGGCATAAACAAAAAATTACAAACGGTATTCCTGTCCAAGCACAGTATGATGGAGAAGATTAACTGTACTCTCCTTTGAAATTTGTTTTAATATATACTACTTTTAGGTGCCGGCAATGATAAATAATGTATGCATACTCCCATGCACCAGTATGAAACATATGAACATATGTAACGAAGTCTAATATAAGACAACTTTCCTCCCAAGATCTACAAAACGAAGCGAAGCCAAGTGTATTACAAAGCGAATATGTAGATCTCGGTTAGCTGCTCCAGGTGAACTTTTGTTAATCTTGTCGGACTTAAGAAAGCATAGACATGGTTCACTGACAATATAAGAATATATAAAAGCTGTAGAGCTTTCTAAATACATATTGCATGGTCACGTATTCATTTATACTTCCTCTCTCTCGATGGCGGGCAATGAAAAGCCATCACAGACATAAATAGAAATCGAATTGAATTTTTTTTTCTTTCTGACTTAACACGAAACCTATATCACGCTTTCCGAACATAAAGCACGTCAGCTTAAAAACTGAAAATTTGTATGAAAGGACACGTGAAAACATTATATTCGCGCTAGGCCGAGTTTTAAATGCCCTATACATATGGCATGGAACACAAAAAATTTACCCTATTTACTTCCGTGTAAGTTCTTATCTAGGGTAAAAATTGGCTTGGGTGGTTATGATGTTGTTTTCATTATGAGGCCTTGAAAATTATATACTTTTGTAACATGAACATTAGTTGTCGTTATATGAGAGGGGTTCAAAAATTTCTCCCTCAGCTCCAAAATTATCATACCAATTTGAAATGCCGAATTACTATTACTTTGCCACCTTTGTATAGAAATTTTGAAAAATTCAATTTTTTCCATACAACGGCTTTTTAAAATAGGTCGCTATGTGGATAGTGGTGAAAAGAGTGAATCGGAAGCATTTTCAGCAAAGTTCGTTCTTAAATCGAATACAAAGTTTCGGAAATTGCTACCTATAACTTGAACAGGAGTTTATATGGACGTACATCTGACGGACGGACTGATTTAGAAAATGATTCTGAATCGAAAGGTGGGTCTATCCCAAACGCTTCTGCGTATTACATACGTCACACGTGTATTACATACATACAAACTGAATGTACCCTGCACGACGATCGGTGTACGGTATAAAAAAAAAAAAATAATCAATCTATTGAGTGGTTTTCATGTTTGTTTATCCACTCACTTAACATAATTCATTTTCATCCGTAATTTAACCTGAAAAAATTTCTATAAATTCTGGTCGCGAAAATTTTTGGCATATATTTTAAATGACATCTGTGCGTACACACGTCGCTACGTATTTAGGCAAAGGAAGAATGAAAGTAAAATTTTGGGGTTTGGTTTATCTACAACGAAATACACGCGCCTAAAATTATGTTTAACGTTTGACATTTTATGGAATCTTTTTTGCTATTATTTTTATGTTTTTTTTTGTCTTTTTTTTTTTTTTTTATTGACTCTATGTAGTTTGCGGCACTGTTAGTTTAATCAAATCATTAAAAAAAATTTCCGTGCTCTTATGTGTGTTGACTTGACAGTTCTATGTAATGAGAGAAAAGGTCACATATCACTAACGATAAGCATGGCTGCCATTGTATTAGGATTTAATGAAAAGGGAAACATAATGTTTTCGGTTACAGGTTTGCAAGTTGATCAAGTCATTGCTTTTGTAACGGTACAGATTTGCTTAAATAAAGAGCTTGATTTATTTAGAAGGCGTCTCTGTATAACAATAAAAGCCTAGTTCATGTTAAGTCCTTTCTGTCACCTGTGTCACTGATAAAAACGTCAGGAATAAACTTCTCTCAGGCAGCAGTAGATCCCTCCTGTCTTTGAAGTTCGCTTCCTAAATGAATATCTGAAGCTATGTTGTATAAACTTTAATTTTCATTTTTAGAAAATAAATATTCAGAACATTAAAGGACTCATCTAAACTTCTTCCAATCTGTACGCAAATAGTCCTGTTTTAGCAAAGCACACTAAAAGCTGTTTTCATTAGGACTTCATTAGCATGATTCGCTTTCAATCATAGGTTGACAAGCCTGAAAAGTTTGAAAAGGATTATTCAATGGATATTGGTAAGACATCATTGTTTTCGTACACCCTCAAAATCGTCCATTGCATTATTTACTTTCAATATGAGAAAGAAGAGCTATGAAATGCGCAATATTTAATAGGGGATGTAGGGAAAAGCCTTCTTCCGACATTTTTCCAACTATTTCAATAGAAGCATACTTGAGACTATTAGCCGGGTAACTGGATGACTATATCTAAGACCTTTTGCTTTGCAGCAAGGTTTTCGCGTGTGTGATACAATACTTCTTTATAGGAAATTTAAACATACGTTCAACGAACTACATTTTTCCTTAAGGATTTTATCTCAGTATCCTCACACAATTTAATGTAATCACTTTGTAAAACGCGAGTAGTGAACCGTTCGTTACAAGTGTTTTATATATGCATTCTGCTAAAATTTAATCTATATTCTTGTTCTACATAAAAAGCGACCCAATTGCTCGTTAAACATAAATCTCCCCGACATGTCATCTATAACTAGGCATGACAAGCAGAGGAAAACGCGTAACATAATTGTAACGACTAGGAATCTCACATAGTTTTAGGGGTAACAAACAAAAATATAAATGAAGTCGCTGTTAGAAACGAAAATCGAAAATATTAGTTTATAAGCTCCCTGCCGTTTTATAGCACACGCTAAAATTCATCCACACGCCAAACTCGAACTGAAGATGAAACTTAAGCCGTAATTCTTATTATCACAATTTAAAGTGATAGATTGATATTTTTTAATTACTGATTGAAACGTATACCGATAACGGTACATTGTATAAATTTTTCTCGTTAACAAAAAGACGGACAGATGGGTAGACAGACAAATTTAGATTGATTCGAAAATTGCTTTTAGGTCTTGCATACATCCGCACAAAATCCATATACTCTACAGAACACACAAGTGATGCAGGATGTGATAAACTGACAATTCACCATAAACTTAACTAAGAAAACCTACAAAACGGGGTTTGCTATACGCTAAGTCTGATAATAAGTAATTACGATAATTAGATTACGGTAATAATTGTTAGCAATCCTCCTAACAATGTTAAAAAAGCAAACTTAACGATTATTGCAGATATAATCAGTGGAACATCAGCTAAAGCTTTTCCTTTCAACGCAAATTGTTCGAGTAATTGATTAATCTTTCTCTACCTAAAACAAAAGTTCTATCAAATTCTTCTTCTTATTTTTTTGTCTTTCTTGTTACGGACAAATATTTACGAATAATAATAATACATTTTTTCTTTCTTTCATTTTTCGATTTCTTTCCTCCCTATAGAGTGATGTTTTCGATGAAATTGATTTATCTGATGTTTGCACAGCCGAGTGTAGCATTAAAAACGTAAATCATAGCTTTCAGGTAAGCGAGCATGTAATGAAGAAACGTTCAGAATATTAAAATGCAATTAATAAAGGAAAGCTAAAAAAAAAAAAAAAAAATTATTTTTCCTTTTTGTTTTTTGAGTAAAGGGGAGAAATTAATTCATTTCAAAGGCTCATGCATTTAAAACAGAGCTCAATTAAAAACAATAACAGGAAAATTTCCAATTATTTCTGTTTAAATAAACAATTATTAATAACTTCATACATACACACACAAACCCAACACGCCCTCGCCCGAGATAGATTTGGCGCGAGCTAAAATGAATTTGCATAAAAATAAAAAAATATAAAGGACAAAATAACTCGCCTACAATTGCAAAGTGGTTTATGAAATTTACATAATTCTGCGTCAAGCAGAGAGGAAATTGAACATAAGAATGAAAAGAAAAAGTGCAGGATTTTAAGTTTCGATTACAAAAATGTTGCCACTTTAACTAAAACTTTCTATAGAAAAATTAGATAAAAAAAAGAACATTATAGCCCCGCCGATCCGACTCATTAAATACCCTACACAACGTTGTCTAACACAATTATTATTTTTTTTACTATAGAATACAAAAATGATAACGGGACCCAAAAATAGGCCTAGATGGTCCAAACTTTGTAGAGTTTATTTTTATGTGCATTTGCTATTATAGAACAGTTTCCATCAATGCATATTAAAACTTAGACTTCTGTTCTACAAGGATGAATTGTTATGAAAATCCTTATTAGGGTAGAACCCAAAAAGTCGGTTAAGATGATCCAAATTTGGTATAGTTAGTTTTTTTTTATGTTAAATTACGATTATGATATAATTTTCATCATGAAGCATTAAAAATTGTACTTTTTCGTCGTATGAACTTTAGTTTTCGTTGTATGAGAGGTGAATCGAAAACTGACCCAGCCGATCCAAAGTTTTTATGCCACTTTAGAATGCCGAAATACTACTGCTTACCGCTTTTGCGGAGAAATTTTGAAAATTGGGGAGTAGTCGAACAAGTGGGCCGATCCGAACCCTTTTCAATAACGTACGTCCTTAGTCCATGCACGTCACTGTACCAAATTTAGTCAAAATATGCGACCTGCAACTTGAACACAAATTTACGTGGACACACATTAGGCGGACAGACAGGCTTAGATTGATTTAGAAAATGTCTCTTAATCGAGATGGGCCCATCTTAAGCCCTGCTGCCTGCAACACATACCCATACTAACTTAATATATCTTGTCCCACAAACGTTGTCGGATATAATAAAAAATAGATAAAAAACATTATAGTTGGACTAGGTTGACTCGTCCATACCTTATGCTACTTCGCTAAGTACAATTTTCTTTTTATTTCCACGATAAAATAACAAAAATTATACCTTGTTGGCTTGCAAAGGCATACTTTGCATGGTTGCCCTTGCATTGTAGGGCATCCAAAAGTTGAATATATGTGTAGTCCAAATTTAGTAAAATTAACTCTAATCTGGCTTTTCCGTCACAATTGTCCTTATAGATCTATGTGATCACAACTTATCGCAGTAAATTTATCTGTCAAATCAATCTTCGCTATAAAATAATAAAAATGAAACTTGAAGTTTGACATAGAAAGACCTACTTTAGTTTTATAGGAGCGGTTATATGGGAGAGAGTTAAAAAAATTTTACCATCCCATCCAAATTTTTGACAAATATTTAATATATAGAAGTACCATTACCCCGCGTTTTTTGCCAAGAAATTTTGAAATATTGTAAAAGTTTTCTTTTAACGACTTTTTTGAAACCAATCGTTACGTGGCATGTGATCATAAAAATAGTTAGAATCAGTCCGCTTTTAAAACGGATCGTTCTTGAATCCAATTTCGGCATAATATCTCAAAACTTGCTAGCTGTGAATCGAATGAAATAATAACTAGATCGATCTAAAATGGATAACGAGCGGAACTGACCTATCTAGGTATTATAACAACAGCTTATGTAGCGGATGCTATATACCGATAACCTTATATTAGGAGTATAAAGGCAATACGCGAAATCCGTCCCGAAAACTTTGGCTGCATAGAGTTGTATGGCACAATTTTACTCCCTCGCAAAATGATACATTTTGGGGCGAGCCTAGCATTTAGTCTGAAGTCATATCCATTTCTTAAACAATAAGGCCAAGTATCAGTTACGTACGCCAACTGTCTTTACATATAATTCGGTAATACGTTACTTTTCATTTAAAATGTGTACATTAACGCAATCATAAGTAATTTTTGATTAACGGAGAGTCATCTCAATTAATTCGGTATATCCCTTACGGGCGTAAATCTATGCCATCGCAAATAACAACGCATGCCTTTAATTTGTAGCTTATTTAAGCTTTCCTTTCCAATGTTATTGAACGATACTCAAAGTTGTTCTATTATTGCATTGTACGCTTGTATTGGTGCCGTTATTGAAAATTTGTTTCGAATTCTTGCGAAAAAAGCCATTTTTTTGATCCTTTTTTACTTATATAATCAAAATTTACTTGAAATTGCAGATTTCTGTCTATCATAGTGGCACGATATTTAATTTCTCCCATTTCATCATCATCGATGAAACTGTCATGATTAGCCATTGATGATCACTTATCAGTGCTGCTCTTCTATTTGTTAATTTTTAATTTTTACATATTTTAAATATTTGTCGACCCATTTCAATTATTCGTTTAGCTGAGTAACGTATTCATCTGTGCTTTGTTCATTAGTTCATTCAAATAAAGATCTCATCTGTAAAGATATTTACTTGCACTTTTTTCAATGCTTTCTTTAAGTCGTTAATATAGATAAAGAGCAGCAATGTTCCCAAGACGGCTCTTTGGGCCACTCCTATATCAATTTGTATTGCCAATGATATATGTTCCCCACACTTTGTTCTCATAGTTTTGTATATTACATTAGTAATTGTATTAAACGAAGTGATGTAGGGTATTTGTCGTACTACATCATTTTGAGCTATTTTGTCTTTTTATTTTCGACATTATAAATAATTATCAATATTTCAATTTGGGCTCGACTTGGCCCAACGAATTGAAGAAGGAAAGTATGAGGTTATGAAAGAACAAAAAAATAGGGTTATATGCGAATTATTTTAATTTTTTTTCTTTTTTACGATTACTATTTCACCTACTACCAATAAGAAAAGTCTATATACTCGATTTATCTTATTATGCATGAAGTGTTTATACGCGAATAAAATGCACCGTAAAGTACAATAAAAACAGAGAACAATATTTTTATACCCAACATCGAAAGATGAGGGGTATATCCATTTTTGTCCCAGAAGGAAACATCAGAGACCCTACAAAGTATATATATATATTCTTCTTCTTTGATCGCCATCAAATTCTAAATCGACGTAAGTATGCCCTTCTGTGCGTCTATATAATGCCTGGTGTAAACATTCTATAGTAGAGAAATGTACAAAAATTTCAACGCATTTTATATGAGCGATGCTGTAGCACAGAAATAGAAAAAAATTTACCACGCCTACCGAATATTTAACTGTTTTTTGAATACCATTATAACGCGTAGAGAATAAAAATAAAGTAAAGTATCCGCCTGAGTAGCCGAAGGCGAGGAATCTCGACTAGCAAGTCAATGGTCGTGGGTTCGAATCTCAAGTGCGTAGAGTTTTTAATTAAAAAGCCGATAGCCTTAGATGCTAGTGCTTTTAAGAGTTTAGTCTTAGAATTTATTCTCTGGCGAAATTAATAATAATAATAATAAAAATAAAGTATAAATGTTCTTGGTCAGTTTCAAATTTGGAATGCACCTAAATATGTCCGTCTATTCGTATGTCCATCTGCTTGTCTTCGCAACTATGTAGTATTTGCGGTAAACATTCTTCCATTAGCCTGGAAGAATGAACACAAGTACACAACACGGCCAGATGGTCAGACAAGCTTAGATTGTTCCAGCAAGCGACTCTGAATCGATCGGTATAACAAAAGTGGCTTCTATCTTAAGTCCTTCTGGATATTGCACCTTAGCCTAACACATCTTTGCATCACAAGTAAAGTATGCTCTTGCTTACTATCCTTAAATCAAAATTTTAACATAATATTGTTTAAGATTAATTTGAATTGTTTTTATTCATTTAATGCGTGGTTTGTGGTTTAAACTTTTTGTTGAGTGTAAAATAACCTAAAAGCGGTAAGTTTCTATGGTTCAAAAACGTATGTCAAGGTAGAATTGTGTGATATTTACAAACGATGTGGTTATGACAGCGTATTTATTATAAATACCACGTGAACGTAAACAAAGTTGGATCACTTTTTTTTTTTTTTTGTGTTTTTTCAGAAAAGCAATTATTCTTTCCGATGCTTGTTATACGAAACTTTGTACGATGTTAATTAATATTTCGCCAGATTGTTAACGAGCTTTTAATAAAATTCTAATGAAATTAATGTAATAACTAAGACTGCTCCCTGTATGATTGGTTTTGTGAAATCCCAATTCCAGTTATCAAACAGGTTTGATTTCATTATGATTTTCGAAGTTTTTAATGATAATGAAAATGATAATCAAAAGTTTTAAAGCAAATTTTAAATTCTTTCTAAAGCGAACAATTTATTACGACATTCATTACGCGTATCTTTTGATGTTACAGACAAAAGGATGCAATTAATATGACCATCTCTCTCTCTCTCTCTCTCTCTCTCTCTTTCTTTCTCTCTCTCTCTCTCTCTCTCTCTCTCCTTCTCCCTCTCTCTCCTTCTCCCTCTCTCCCTCTCGCTCTCTCTGAAAATTCAGCCATTCCAATTTAACCGTTCAAATTTATTGTTGTTCTGTTTTTTGTTTTCCTCTTTCTACAATTCGTGGAAAATACTGGTTTGGTATTTATTCAAACTTTGTAATTGATTAAAGCCATCTTTATGGTCACCCAGCCAATAGGTACCATTTACCAAAATTCCTTTGAAATTATTCGGCCTAACATACGTACGAGTGCAACATAAGCGCAACTTTACATTTTATATATGTGA